TGGTTTGTCCAGTGATTGAGGCTAGCTCTTTCTAAGGGACCCAACTGAATAGGTGTTTTCCTTTTTTTCCTTCACCTGAGGACGGAAACAGATCCAGTTTCCGAAACGTTGTGTTTTTATTTATCTTAAAAACCTGGACGATGGATAAAGTCCAAAATCCTAACATATCAGTGTGTTATACACCATCGTCAGAATCCTATAGTAACTAAATTAATTAATGTTTACTTGTGTATGCTACAAGCCGGAAGGTCACGGGTTCTATTCCCGACGAAGGCATTGGATTTTTCAATTGACCTAATCCTTCCAGCCGCACTATGGCCATGGGGTCGACTCAGCCTCTAACAGAAATGAGTACCAGGAATCTTCCTGGGGATGTAAAGGGCGGCCGACGCGTAAGGCTGACAACCTCACTGCCATCTGTGGGCCGATTGTCTAGAAAATGTGGGAGTCTCGACGTCTCACAACCCTATGGGCCACCACGGCCTGTTACAAGGATAGCTTTATCTTACCTTCCCTTAACTTTTCGGTGTCGTTAGGAGTTACAATCCGAGGTACTAGAGCATTTATGAACTTTATAAACAATTGAAAGAACATTTCATCAAAATCGAGTGTCTCCATTTCCTCCTCGAATTCAAATGATAGCGCTAGTCATGGGAAATTTTGGAAAGGACTCGACTAGGAAGAGGAANCTTATATTTTTTTCTTCTACCATGAAGATGGAGGCGATACGTTCCTCCGAAACGTCGGTTAACACCACATATACACGGTGCCAAATCCCAGAAGACTGCTTTCTTCAGGAAATATACTGTGTTCTGCAATGTGACGCCTGGCAGCCTGGCAGGAGTTTGCTGATGTCTGAAAGGAAAGCCTTCATCTTCATAATCCAAGAGTAAGCCAAGCTATTATCAAACAGATTGTTTTCTTGCTTGGCTTAGGTCTATTCTTCGACCCTGAAGATAAATGCAATATATTTCTCCAGAAAGTTCCTGAACTTATACCAGATTATGCAGTATTACACCTCAGGAACTAATAAACATTGCTTTTCATAGAACACCCCCCTTAGAACTTGAAATCTGATGTTCTTCATCTTCCATGTCACGGAATTTCTTTCAGTTCTGTATGATTATGACGTAATTGAGGAAGTCTATTTGGTGCAGATTTAATAGATCATCATATAAGATGATATTTCATGGTTCTCAGCTGAAGACCTCTTCACAGTTCCGAAGAATATTACATCTCTATTTTTACTTCAAATTTGTCACTTGTTGGAATGACACTAGGCAGAATTCCCTTCTGTATTAACATGAACTAATAAGTGTTTCTTTAATATTGGCAATATCAAAATGGAGTTTATAAAATTAATATGTTACAGGGATTACTCATCGTTGTGCTGCTCATTACAATTGGCATCAATGTAATGTTTATCCTGGATACAAGTCGCCGTCTTTATGAAGAGAATCCCACAACAGGTAAAGCCATATACTGTGTAAAAATCTTGGAAAATATCTTAATGCACTCTAAACATTAACATGTATAATGCTGTTGAAAGACAAATTTAACATAAATTCCTACAGTTGTCAGCTACTCTCACCATGTGTGAAAATAATACTGTAAAACTACCTAAGAACTTCCCTTCAAATGATTCTTTGCTCTGTAATGGAAATAAAATGCCAATAGATATCACATGCTGTCTGATATACCAATTGTTGTAAAGGTCGAAATTTTCGACATATGGCATTTGTAGGTTATAGATAACTTCAGTTGCCAGTACAAATGTACCAGTGTTTCAGAAGAACATCATGCATCAACCTTCAGGCAAGAAGAGAATTCCTGTGCCCTGAAGTTGTGGGCAGCATGCTCTTCATATCATCAGTACATTTCTACTGCACTACAGTGGTCTAGGGGTCAGAGGTCCCGGGTTCGATTCCCGGCTCTACCAGATTTTCTGAGAAGTAGTGGGTCTGAAACGGGGTCCACTCAGCCTCATGAGGATAATTGAGGAGCTGTTTCAAGGAAATAGCGGCTCCGGTCTAGAAACCCGAGATTAACAACTGTGGGGATCCGTTGCGCTGACCACGTGACACACTCTATCCGCAAAAAGTTGGCACTACCTTCGCTGACAAGCGGCAGTCACTCTGTCGGTATAGTTTGTTTTTGTTTGTTTCTACATGGAATAGCATTTCAGAAGACTATAGTCTTAAATAACAGACTATTTTTATTAAGTCTGACTTAATATTCTCAGGAGATGAAAGAGGACTCATTGATGGGAGCAGCAGACGGAAGAGTCTCAGACTCCAAGAAAGTCAGCCCAAGTCTCTTGGTATTGAAGTTGTCTCCAGCCAGTCAAAAGTATCCGTGTCGGTGGATGGCACAACGGTAAGTCGCTTGAAGGATAGTAATTATATTTAAAGAATTATGAAATATTAGTACTGAAATTAACAGAAAAATATTTTAAAGTTACTTATATTTCCATGGATTTTTATGTCATTGGAGTGGTCATACCACAACATAAGTTTTTAGCTGCTGGTTCTTCACTGTTAAACCTTGAAGCCTACAATTCCAGAATTACTGGTCCATGAACTTTGTCCATCATCCGGTATTCTAGAAAACAGAGAACGTAACGTTACAGAAAGTGGACTTGTTTTCATCTTCATGTGTGTGGGGGAGACACCTACTCTGTTGGATCCTTAGAAAGAGCTAACCTCAGTCACTGAACAACCCGTGTCAGTATGACTACAGCTTGTATAAATACGTGAGACTAGGTTTTATGAAAGGGAGATAACAAGAAAATATGCAGTAAAAATTGTGATAAAGCACACACAGACCTGAAACTAAGATAGAAAGGTAGGTTAAATTTATGCAACAAACCAAGTACATGAAAACCAATGTATAGAATTAAATGGATAATCTCCTTTAAACAAAACCTGCTCTCAGATATTTATGTAGCTGTAATTATACTGACTTGGGTTGTTCAGTGATTGAGGTTAGCTCTTTCAAAGGGACCCAACAGAACAGGTGTCTGCCCCCCTCACCTGAGAATGGAAACAGATCCATTTTCTGAAAAGTTGTACTTTCTAGTTTCAAGAATACCAGACATTGGACAAAGTCGAAAAACCCAGTAATTCTGAGTATTATACACCATAGACAGAACCCTTTAGAATCTACAATCCTGGGGTTCTACAAGACTACAGGATTTTAGATTCTAAAGGGTTCTGTCTATGATATGACAAAACCTCTATTATAGTACAGGTGGCTTCTGAATTCCAGTGGCTATAAAGTTCTCATGCCAGCCATCACAATACTTACTTCCTGTAGCTACCTTTCTCTCTCTCTCTCTGATGCTTTCAGTAAGCCAAAGTAGCTACTTCTAACACAATCTAAGCCTATGGACAGTATATTTAAAAAAACAAAGCATTGAACCTCATTTAGAAACATAGGAAACTGAATTTGTAATGATAATGTATTTGCTTTATATACAAATTTTCTCATATTTTAAGTATGCAATGATCAGGACACTTTCTTACTGTAAGACTAGTGAGCTGAGATGAGAGAAATTTAATGTTAGTGTAGCTTGCTAGATCCTGGAGGCTGGAGAAGACCACAAGGGGCGAGGGATCCACGTGATTGTGCTGAACCAGGCGAGTGGGAGTGTGATGGCACAGCGTAAGTTCGATACGTACTCGCCACACGAAGACGAAGCCATGTCACTCTTCCTGAACATGGTTTCTGATGGCAGAGTCGTCATATTCGCCATAAAGGTACGCAGTAACAGTTGTGAGACAAATGAAGGTTGATTTCTGAGGATCTCCAGTAATGTTTCATTAAACTAACTCCATGAAGCTGAGCCCTTCTTGAGAAGCTGCCAGTTGTGCAGCTACTCAAGAATTTCCCTATATTTTATGCAACGCTAAGGTTCATTACCTTGTTCACAAGAGCCCTACACTGGTCCCTATCCTGAGCCAGATCAACCTAGTCCATAGCACCCTATCCTATCTCTCTAAGATCCACTATTATAATATCCACACACCTACACCTTGGTCTTTGAATTGGTCTCTTTCCTTCTGCTTTGCCACCATTATCTTTCATGTATTCCTCTTGTCCCTCATTCGTGCGACATGCCCTGCTCACCTCATCATCCTTGACTTGATCATTCTAATTATGCTTGGAAAAGAGTACAAGTTATAAAGCTCCTCATTATGCAGTTTTCTCCAACCTCCTGTCACTTCATCTCTCTTCAGTCCCATGGTATATGTGACAAATGATGGGGATAGACTTCACTCCCCCATATGTCTTCATTGCATGATGCATAATTAATTAAGCACAGGGACAACATTACCTTTTTATCTTTATGTGACACCTTTTGGCATTTTATTAGAACATTAGAACATAGTTAAAGAAGCATTTGGAGGGAGTTTTTTCCTTACATTTGAAATTCTTAGGGATTTACTGTATATACCAACAAACTGAGTATCTGTGGCCAACTCAAGTGCAGGAATATAAGCTGATACATCTAGCTGTAAACATTAGAACAGCAATTTTATGTTCATGAGTGTGATATTAAGTCGGATTCTCTATATTCCTTCCTGTTTTATTGCCATATGGTTTGGATATAGAGATGACGTAATTTAAATAGCAACGTTCATGTTTATTGCAGTTTCTTCTGGATTTCTCTGACAGTTAATATTCCTGACTTTCAGGATGAAGGAACATTCCAGATGAAGCAGCCAGCCAGAGACCTCCTGAAGAGACTGGGTTCAAAGCGAGCGCAGATAATTGGATGGAGAGACATGTGGGCCATGGTAACCCAGAAAGGTGCGAAGATGTTCGGAGAGTCTTACAGCAAGAGTACTGAGTTCAACACCTGGGGAGCTCCTGTAGTTCTTCGTACAGAAATACCACTCGTTCCTACTGAAGGTTGGATTTCATTCTTTTCTGTAATTTCTTATTTGTGTTAAATAGAGTGTCTCAATAAATTTAATTTTAGTGTGTATGCTTGTGTCAGGGAAAGAATGAATAGGGATTGTGTTGGTTAAATTCAGCTCCCTGCTCCTCTAATCTATCAAAGTCACGTAGCTCTCTACTGTTTTCTGTATAGAATATGTCTTATTAATTAGTAAAAAGTGGTGCTTAATAGTTTTTATGATAAAATGGAAGATAAAAATAAAGTAAGAAGTCAGCTGAAATCAGATAATTGCATCACAAAGTTCTGTGTATAATCAGAATCAAGTGCAAAGCACAATAGTTTCATAATGAAATACTAATATACATACTATCAAGATTTTAGTTACTGTAGATGCGGTTTGGATTTATTATTGGATTTATTGAACTCTTACAACTTGTAACTACAAGTTAGGATCATGCTCTCGCTGTTCTACACGCTTCCCAAATCACTATAGGACACACTAGGTCTTCTCAGTCTGTTACAGTCTTCAGCAACTCTTGCTTGGTAGTGGCTTCCAAAGACAGACGTTCCTCTTCCTCTGGGTTCCAGAACTGCCCCCTGCTTCAGGTACCAGCTTCTAACAGCAATAGCTCACAACAACTGAGCCCCGGCAGTTAGTTAACTGCAACTCCTAACTTGTCCTGCTTATCTCAGCATGGACCGCATAAAAACGCCGTTTCTCTCTGTTGCTCTGTGTGGCCCTAGTAACTTCCATCGTGTAGTTGCTTGTTTCACAGTTGTTGCCTAGCAACATGTCTACTGGATAGGCGTCCAAAATTATTTCTTTAAGAATGCTCTCTTCTGTGGTGTGATGCCATAAGGACTGCTGTTATTTAATAGTGTCTGCAGGAACATAGTGCTCCATCTTCAGGGTTGCAGAGTAAGCCAAGCAAGAAGTAAGCTGCAGTTCCTTGTTGCCCTAAAGAGCGGCATTCAGCAACATAACACTGTTTTTGCCACCGTCACATACAGGTTCTTGCCTCAAAATAGGTTACAATATTCTGCACTCATTCAAAACAACTTGGTAGAATTTTAGTTCTTGATTAATTCGCTGTTAAAGATTGTTTATGCATTATGAAAAATTGTCTAATGCCTACTCTTGTTGCAGATAGTGAGTGTGATTGGGCGGATAAAGATGAGAACCGGCGAAGAAGAGAGTTTTGTAATCATATCGAGGGTTATGGCAGCGTCTGCAGCTGCACGGATCCTGCGCCATTGTTGTTTAACCCTGAACCAGTGAGTATATACAAAATATATGTTATTCTTTAAATTTAAAATTAACATGTGCACTGTCAAACATGCAACCTAACAGGTTGAAGTTTACTACATGTCAACGCTGATTGTGTCAAATGATTGCCTCTGTGTACCCAAATATAATTTTCTACTACAAATGTCACTCAGATACAAAGAAATTATAAGTGTAGTTTATCTAAGCTTGGATGAGTTGAAATAATAAGTGACTGTTGATTCTATTCCATTTCTGTTTCAAATGTAGTAAATCCAATTCTTGTAAAAAGTGGCTGACCCAAAAAGTAAAGTCACAGAATATGGACAAGGCAGTAAATGTGTTAATAATTACTCTGCTAAATCCCACCTAGGGCTCTACTTCAGAATAGTTCTGCTTCTGTAGAGTAGTGTTACTTATACATGACTAATGATTGATTTTTAAAAATATTTGTCATAGGTGGAAAATAATGAGGTTCATGATGTACCAGTGGCTGTCATTGCAAGCAACAGGCCTCATTACTTGTACAGGTAATACTAAAGCACTGAGTTTCAGGCCCCTTGACTGTAAAACAGAACCTAATCTAGCAGAAAATCTGGTAGGATTGTCTCTATGTTTGATTAATTTACACTTTCATTCTTCCCCCATTCACTCCTAAGAGCATCAGATTTATAAATACTCTGATATAATTCTCAGTGCATTATGGTCTGTGCAGGATGCTGAGGTCTCTTCTCTCTGCACATGGAGCAAATCCAGAGATGATAACAGTCTTCATTGATGGCTACTTTGAGGAACCTCTTGAGGTGACAAAACTCTTTGGACTGCGAGGAATTCAGCACACACCAATTGGAGTTAAGAATGCCAGAATATCTCAGCACTACAAGGCTTCTCTCACAGCAACATTCAACATATTTCCCAATGCCAAATATGTAATTATTGTGGAAGAAGATTTGGATGTGTCTCCAGACTTCTTCAGGTGAGAACTGTTACAGGTTTTGGTACCTAGTGAAATGGGTAATGACTGCGTAGAAAATGAAAATGCTGTCACTACAGTAAACTCCTGATTACTCTCCAGTATCCATCTGATAGTGGTCATTCAGTGACTGAAACATTTTGTAGAACTCACTACATCTGTACACTTAAAGTCTGTATGATTGTATACAGTTTTGTAGTGATCATTTGTCTCCTATCCAGATTAAACGTTGAACAGTTTCAACCTGTGTGAGTCAGATCAAGATCTATATGTACAGATATATATAGGCTTCCAAAGTGATCTCTTTCATTTACTAAATTTCAATAAATTAATCGCATAATGCCACATTCCCAGCCTGTTTTATACTCGTGTATATACAGAATGTCCCAGGAGTTTGGTGCCATACTTCATGAGCGCACTGAGGGTTCTCTGTGGAACAACTTTGAATAGGAACCCATGTCCGCAAACATAAGAGTAAAATAGCAGCGCTAGCACGGCATTTAAAATCATTTCGTTTAAACTTGGTGCCTGAATGTCGAACTGCATTGCATAGAGGAACAGCCATCCACCAGCACTCTTGCCATTGCCAAGATTGTGGGGACATCAAAATCAAATGTTTGGAGGATCCCGCATGACCAACAGCTTTATCCGTATCATCAAACGCGAGTACATGACAGGTCCAGCTGACTTCGTACCATGGGTTCAAATTTGTCGGTGGATACTGAACCAGTGTTTACATCAGCCCAACTTCCTGAATCACATGTTGTTCACAGACAAAGTGCAGTTTACAAGGGATGGTTATTTCAGCCACGTTTGTGCTGACGAAAACCCCAACGTTACTGTAGTTGGTTACCACCAGGCTCAATTTTCTGTCTATGTCTGGGAGGGCATCATTAGCGATCACTTGATTGGGCCTTTCCTCCTACCACCACGACTCAGTGGGCCTTTTTACAAGATGTTCCTGGAACGTATCCTTCCAACTTTGCTAGAAGACATGCCACTGATTGTGCCCAAGCAAATGTGGATACAGCATGATGGAACGTTGGCACACTTCAGCATTGTATCATGAGACTACCTGGATGCTTCTTTTCATGGTCGTTGGGCAGGAAGAGGAGACCCAGAGCCTTGGCCACCCCAGATCCCCAGACTTGACACCTCTGGACTATTTCATCTGGGGTCACATGGAAAAGCCTGATCTACGACACACCTGTGGATAGTGAATCTGAGCTGCTGACCAGAATACTTGTTGCATGTGACCTGATCCATGAGACACCTGGAATATTTGAAAGGATGCGCCTAAGTTTCTTTCATCGATGTAACTCATGCATTGAAAATGGAGGGCACCAATTCCAACAGCTACTCAAGCAGGCGAGTCTTAAGAGTTTGGAGGGGGTAATATGCCTGTGCATGCTCTTCGACATTGAGGCGCCAAGTTTAAACGAAATTATATTAAATGCCGCCCTAGCACTGCTGTTTTACGTTTGCTGAAATGGGTTCCTATTTCAAAGTTCTATAGGGAACCCTCAGTATGCTCCTTAAATATGGCCCCAAACACCTGGAACACCCATTGGTGCATAGGAAGGTAGTATAATATTAAAAAGAAAGGTATGAGTGTGCAGTTTGTATTCAGCTGGTTACATATAAAGCCCAGTGGCAAAAACTTGTAGCACTGTAATGAATTTAGAGGCTAGAAAAGATGAGGTTGTTTCATGGCCAGATGATAAGACTGTCAGCTTTTCAAGGACTTTGCTCTATATAGACATTTCACTGTCATCCAAGGAATGGAATGTTTGCCAAATGTGTAGGCAGATTAATATGAATATTGGTACAGTGTGTACATTGCAGTTACTTCAGCCAGACTAAGAGACTGCTGGAGGAGGACGAGACACTTTACTGCATCTCCGCCTGGAATGACCAGGGTTATGAGCACACCAGCAGTGATCCAAGCTTGCTGTACAGAGTGGAAACCATGCCAGGACTCGGATGGATCCTTAAAAGATCTCTCTATAAAGATGAGCTGGAATCCAAATGGCCAACACCCGAGAAGGTTTAGTACATTTTGGTACTGTAGAATTAGTGGAACTTTAACTGGAATATATCTAAAAGGATGAGGCATAGGCTTGAACCTTTACATATGATTCAAAGTAGGTTTCAGTTAAGGATAAGGGAAACCTTTGCTATATGCTTATGAGCTTGGAGTTCTCGAAAGAGGTAAATACGAAGATTGCGGATCTCTGGGTTATGACACTATATCATTCAGTACATAGGTATCAGCATTTGTGGGGAATCTAAGTGAAAATGCAGGTTACTGATTTCTTCCCAAGATGTTGGTACCAATTTGTAACCCAGAAGTCCTCAAGCTTCTGGACTTCATGAAGCATATTTTTTATGGTCTCGTAATTCTTTGTGTTGCTTTTTATTGTATTTATTGTCATTTTTGTTGTTTTCATTGTTACTTCTGTTGTTGTTTGGATGGGGAACTCTTATCAACTGGTGAATGCAGTTTCAACAATTTGAGGCTTGGAATTATTTGTAATTAACTGGTCACTTATTATAAATATATCATACTTAAATTAAGAAAGTGCTATAAATTCTTCCCAGAACCGCTACTAATATTTTAGTGAGGTAAAATTTTAGCTTTTATATATTGCTATAATTTGATCTCAGTTACATGGATTACATTTTTGGGATCAAATAACTTTCTTGATCATAATGCCAGTGTAAGAATTGTGTTTTGTGTTGCATGTCCAGATGTGGGACTGGGATATGTGGATGCGGCTACCTGAGGTTCGGAAGGGCAGAGAGTGTGTGATTCCAGACGTGTCTCGGACGTACCATTTCGGTGCTTCAGGTCTGAACATGAATTCCTACTTCCAAGACGTCTACTTTAAGAAACATTCTTTCAATACCTTGCCATATGTGAAGCTGAAACATGTTGACAGGTAATGCATATTATTCTTAATTCAGTTGACATTCCTCTATAATTTATGGAAACAAATTAATATTCATACTTTTTGTCACTGTGTAAGAAAGCATTTTAGTTACTATGAAGCAAAAGATATAGACATTCATGTGTAGAGGAATGCCTCAGTTCATCTTAACCAGAACACTGCTAAGACTTTATAAATTTAATCCAAATAACAGTTGTATGATATTCTGTTTGTCTGATTGTACAGTGACCCCCCCCACCATGTAAGATTATCAGTGACTCAAAACTTTTTCATGTAGGACATTGAAATCTAGGTGAATGACATGCTTACTGTAATCAATTTTTACAGATAAAATTGTAACTTTCTTTTCTGTTTCTTATAAGAAATCTAATACATAACACCCAAACGTGACAAGTAACTTCACGTGGGTCTCGGATTTAGCGAATCTTTATTGTTCTTCACTTATACACTCACACGCTTTACAATTATTATCACTTGCGGTATCACAATTACTGCTTCCACTATATCTTGGCCAGTATTAAACTGCTTTTGGCGGCGGCCTTCTGAAGACTGACTTGTTACCGCAGAAGTCCATTATTCTGGTTCAACATTCCGTTGCTTAGGAAGTGCAGTATTTCCTGTTGTTACTCAACGACAGTTCATTACTACGATTTGTCGCTGTGGGAACTCCACAGTTTCCACCCATTTGTTGCCGTGGAAATGTCCGTTCCGATTGTAGCGGTTGTCGTCGTGATGGACGTAAAGTAATGCATCATGGTATTAAGAAATGTACCCTGCATTTGTGCCAGTATGCTGAATGGCTACAAATATTAAAGTAATGAGCAAGGGTGAATAAAGTTTTGGATAAAATTGGAATCCTCATACTCAATTTTAATCTGATGAGTATGCTTCATGAAGATATGAAGCATGTTCATCATATGTTTGTGTTATTAGACTGTTATCCCTTCTGTGTAATTTTGGCTGCTATATATTGTGACATTGACAAGAAAAGTTACCATATCCTGGACCATGAATGGGTACTTTTGTTTGTATGAACTAAACAGTTCAAATGAAAAACAAAGCCTCTTTTAATAGTTAAAAAACAGGGCATTTATTGAAAAAATATCCTGAGCTAAAAACCCAAGGGTTTCATAATAAGGGTTATTATACTATAACTACACAAGAATGACATGTCTTATATCATG